ATCTGTTACTGGAAGGAGATTCCAAGACATCCACCATTTATAAGGGATCCCTAGTCACCCACGGGCAATGGATATAACAGGCAATATATATACAGCGGCGCGTGTTCTAGATTGTCACGTCGTTTGTAATAACGACATTCGATCAGTCGCTCATCCTTCTTTTCCTGGCTTCCCCATGGATACTCCTACCACGAACCGCTACAGCATCCACTATAGGATCACAAGGTGGAGCCGATACCGCATTCCCTCCAGCGTCCTCGCAACAGCAGACTTTCGCTCCGAGGGCTTATCCGCGGATTTGTGGCCACCGCGGATATCGTGCACTGCCTACTTATAAGATTTATCTCGTGACTTCGATCCTTCCCACCCAACTAATCGTCCGGTATCGTTTGGTTCGACCGTGAAAAATCATACGGTAGGTACGACGATCCTCACCTAGGGACTGACTAATAAGAACTCTTACCCGACTCCATTTGCATATAGCCCATCCCTAATTATTTTGACACTCCCTCTTAACATGATATCGATACCAGTAATAAGGTCCATGCAGCATCCCATGATACCTTTATATATATACTCACAATACCTCTACCGAAAGGTACAGTTAGATCGTTGACAAAAATGGAATGTGGGTCTCGAAGATAAAAATATACCTATATATACACCAGTCAGAATAGAGAGCATCCTATTTATAGAAGATTGGCCCTAACTCATTAATGTCTCTGAGCCGAAGAAGAATCTTCTTCCTCGTCAAAGTTTCTTTTTTCTCGAATGGGGCCGAGCGAGGGGCAGCGGGATAGTCCTCCACTGGAAGAGAAGCGAAGGCTCCCTCTACGTAGACCGGAGATGCTGTTGATGGTGTTGGTCGTGGTAGTAGCTTGGTTGGGATGCTGTGGGGGAGTTTTTCTCGTTCCCGGCTCCCGTCTCCCGGGACGCGAAGCGCGAGGATCTTTTTGCTCGCTCGACGGAGGATCAGACGTCCCACTTTATCTCCGCCGACCCGTTCATCCCCTTTTCCACCCACTTCTACACCCTCCCCCTTCGGCTCTGCCGCTTTTCTCCCTTTTTCACCCTGCACCCCCCCTTCTCCTCTTCTACCCGGGCGCAGCCCCCTTTTCTCTTCACGAGCCAGACCCGTTCCAGTCTCACGTATAGGAACAGCCCCTAGCAGCGCCTAGAGTGACGCGTCCTGGAGAAGCCATTTGTCATCCATCAGCCCTGTACTATCCCAACGATAGTACAGCCCGTTGTATACTCTTATCTTTTCTACGTTTTTACTCTCTTTTTTTTGCCACTTTTCTTCACTTCGCTTCACTCAGTCCCTCCATACTTGCGTAGATACAAATACTAATATACGTATTCGGTGCTTTTTTTTGTACTTCGAGAAAACTCTTCATGCGTAAAGTGGGTATCTTGAATATTCAATGTGAATAAAATTCAGTTGTTATACGTTCACCGTAAATTCTTTTGTATATAGTAAGTGGATGAATATTTCACCCACTCTGTGCTTCGGTACGTGGTGGCTCTTATTTGTACATCCATAAGGGCCCAGGGGCTTCCTAATAGATCAAATCGTAAGCAAAGCAAACATCTTGAAGGCTCGAGAGATCGATGAATGTCCAACCTGAAGTTCCATCATGAGCGACACGTCAGGCGATTCATAAGAATCCTTCGTGATTGCTTGCCAGACTGGTCCATAACGAACCACCCGCTACGTCCATCAACTATCCAATGGTCAATTCATTTTAGTCCCATCATGCTCACGCCCGCACAATATATCTATATCTTTTCTGTAGAGATTCTTATACTTTGCTGTACATATATATATTCCATGAGTAAATAGATATAGGTATATTATATATACGATATAAGACTTTGCATACTCCCTGCCTTCTATCCTATGCCGATACAGATAAGCTGTTGAATTATCTTATCAAATTTTTACTCGGACTGTTATACAGTCAGTGTGATTAACATTGAGCTTCGTCGTTCCGTTCAAAGTCAATGCTAGATGCGATATAAGCGCGAACCACGCACAGAGCATATATGATTAATTATGCTCGGTCAGAGATTAAGTACTGTTGTCTAGGCAGGAAATAGTTACAGATTTCTACTAATTAAACGGCTACTTTTTTTGTCTCTGTCCCGAAGGCTGATTCGATTGTTACTTTGTACGCTGTATTACTGTATATAGGTAGGGCTATACATATATGCTGTGCAATGTATCAGAGATCGTTCACCTCGTGAGATTACGGCAGACCTTGTCCTTCGTTTCTTTTGCAATGATTATCAGTAGGTGTACGGATACATAATAAGACCCTATCGATATACTGTTTAGTATGGAGAACGATGGTAGGAGGTTTAATCTTCCTTGAAACCCACCCTGTTCCACTTTCGCTCCTCGTAAACTATTCATTTCTCAGCGTCCTATAATTTCGATCGGGGCTACGTGGATTATTAAGCGCCTCCGACCATCCCTTCTCCTCTCTTTACGTCATTTACTATATTCCATACATTTTACGCTGTCTCCACCCTTTCATGATTTTATGGATTTTCATTTTACCTCGATGGCGGTCCATTCAAAGTACGAAATTTATACACCCTGTATATCCATAGGTGTCACTTACTGTACATATAGAAGGTTGATCGAGCAGAGTCATATAAAAGAGAAGTATTTTTATTATTAGGGGGTTGATGTTGCGTAACCATGACTTTGGTTCAATTATTTATTTGCCAAAAAAATAAAGTCGATGTTGGTATGCACGTGGGATACGTAGATACGTGTTAACTTTTATTAAAACACGCCGGGCCCTTATATCGAAACTGTGTTCACTTATATAGGGGGGCTCCACGCTTTGCTCTCAGTTCAAATTATATATCCCTTAATGTCTTAACTGAAAACCGTACGGAATCATTATCATAATTTTCGTATTTCCTCGGGTTCTTGTTTCGCTTCTACCGCCAGTATAATTTTCTTTCTGGGTGGCGTCGCATATTATTGCCCTCTCTTAACGGCAATTGAGATATCGTCGCTTCTTCTTACGTGTAAATTTTATTTTCGCGTTTTCCTATGCTCCTTTACGTATATACAGGTATATACAATATACGCGTATATACATACTATATGGGCGCTCAACAATGTTCTTGAATCCAGCTACGTGATTCGACTGGGAAGAACGAAAATAAACAAAAGTATTCAAAAGTTTTGCTCAATCCTATTTTTATGCTCGCAAAACTTGTCACGGCTGTGTTTTCAACAAACATGTTGTCACCCTCTTTCGCATTTCCGAAATTTGACGTTAGTCGTATAGCAGCCGGTTCGACCGGGCACTATGCTCGCGGAATGTCAATTTTATTCGTCCCGCACGATTTCAAAATATTATACCTATATATGCATATTTGTATGCATTTACAAATTTGGAAAATGTCATCGTAGATCTGCTTGTCGAAGAAACTAAATTCGCTCGCAATCTCGATAAGGGGAACTGCTGGTTAGTTCTGAAATTGCCAACCCCTAGCTGTACCTTTCGGTAGGTCTTGGTAACAGCATAGTAAGGTCTATGGATATGCGAGAGCCGCCTATGCAAATCCCTCCCCCTTTCGAAGGACCCCTCGTTCGCTCAGACATGATTAAACACAGAGTGCTGCTGTTTCAGCCCCCAAACCTCCCGGACGTACCGTTAGCCACCCTTGGCGGGGAACCGTAGCCCTGTGACCCACCCCCAGTCATCCCTGTCGCACAATCCGCAAGATTCAACCCCAGCTTAATCACTAGCCAAAAGCTGCGGCCTTGCCTTTATGCCATTCAATAATGCCAAGCCACCCTTAGTAAAATCCAACGATCCACCCCCTATTCCTTACTACCATATTTATCACGCTTTGTTTTGATTCTCGTTCTGCTTGGAATTCCTTATCGGGCACTTTAATAATTGTTATTCCTTCGTTCGCTGGCAATAAACGTGCTCCCTGGTTAATTTTCGTGTCGGTTAAATTTCAATTAGCCAACGCCGCGCTCTTCCTGCGATAATTGTCGTTAGGCCATTACCGCCAGTAAAAACGTTAATGGCCATCCCGAACGTAATCGCTTGGTCGATCGGGACTATCGTCGAATTATTTTCTCCCCTTGTTTTTGGTATTCTCTCTCGTACCACAATTTACTGTTAATCCCCTTTTTTTTTTCATTATAACTATTTTCAACTTTTTGTCTCTTTCACATATATAGGTAACAAAAATGAATCGTGGCAGAATTAAAGGACGATGCGATAATCCTCTTTGCCAAGTGGTAAACGGTTCACTTCTATCTGCAAGCAGCCCTTTGCCGTTATGTCCTGGAACGACAAACCCCTGCACACCCAACATCCCCTTATAGCATCACGTTTACGTTTACGAGCACCACCGCTGACGTTTACGAGCCACCGGCTGACGTACGAGCCACTTGCTGCTCTCTTGCTTTCATTGCTTACGCTCACGCGCGCCTCCTACTACTACCGTCCTCGAAATGTGCCCTTGATTTTCCACAGCTGGAGCGCGGCATTACTTTATCAAACGATAATACCACCTGTCTCCTCATAGAATCATTCTTGTTATCGGCGGGAATTTCAAATAGTTTGAAATTCATTCAGTGTTATCGCACCAAGATAAGATACATATAATTGACCATGTCGAGATATATGTATTTCAGTCATAAATCTCATTTGATTTTCGAATCAAACGTAGACCCCATATCATACATATGAAAAATAAACGTAATTCTGTCGATGACTTATAAGAATCATTACGTCCTCGTGTCGTACTTATTGATACTCGTTTAGGGAAGCTACCCTAAATTCTATTGTATCGATGGCCTGAAGCCTGTGATATTGATTCTCAGTCACTTTTATACACGAGTACCAAGGCGTGCGAAGCCAAGGATCGACTTGGTCTTCGTTGTTACCTACAACTGGCCCCATGGTGCTTCTCACTTGAGGGATTTATGAGCTTAGATCGCATTGTCTCTCACTACGTGCCGCGTACCATGGCGGACCGTGACGTGACATGACGTAACTGGGTCAGATCCGGCCCCTGGCCGGTCTTATGCCTACCTCACCTTATCCACAATACCATCCCGCACGTGTTCCTTGTTGGCTCCTTCAGAAAATTTATCGCTCTCGGGTATACCCATGGATACGGGCACAAAGAGGCGAGTACTGGGGGATTCTGGGTGCCCCGATACCAGCGTCTTTGGCTTTATTCTTTCCCAAAAATCAGCTGGGGTGTGCTAGTGGCGAAAATAAGAGAAAAAAAAATAATAAGAGATGAGCTTTTGGCTTCTTGCCATCATTCATCGTGGCTGTGCTTATCAGATCTTTTCTTAATTCGGTTATGGAACAGGGGATACAATTTTAGACGGAAGGTTATCACGGTGGAATTTAATCTTAGGCTTGAAATTAGGGTTATCGATACTCTTATGTATGTCTTATGCTTTTACGTTTATTCTTCGTGTCACTTTATAGTTTTAATGATCCTTGATGACACGTTACCTAGAAGGGTCTCGTATTCGGTTGAATACTCATGCTTTATAGATGATTTCCGGGGGTTGTGTTTTAATGAAGAGATGACAGGTAACGGTCTCCGTTCGCTGGTGACGTGGGGGTGTCTCTCCTTGACTGATGAAGCATCCTCGACACTAATTACTTCGTTGCTATCTGTCCGACGCGTGACGTCATCATCCCTGTCACATCCGATGCCGCGTTTTCTCAAGACGCCCTTCGTCGTTAGTGAAGAAACGTGAGAACCACCCCGAATGCGTTAACTTTTCAGGAGATGCCTCGTCTGACTTCTTTTTCTGTCGTATTTGCCTTTTCAAACTTGTGCTCTGCTCTCGAAATTCCGGACCGTCTGTGAATATTTAGAAAAGAACAAAATTATTAATTAAAATAAAATAAATTTATTTTTCATTAATCAATAATCACTATAAATTGAATAAACGACTTTGTAATATATTGTGCCGTTAATAATATTCTGATTGCGTTTTGATTAATAAAAAAAAAACACAATGGGACAGTGTAATTTTTTATATTACGTAAAAAAAGTAATAGCAGAACTAAGAAAAATCATTGAACGGGATCAGTCCCAAATTGATTTACACATCCGGGCTACTTTTGGCAAGAAGAATGATCACGGAGGCTGAAATGATAATAATATTTTCTTTAGCAACCCTTGGTAGTGCCGTTTCACCCTCACGTCGCGGAAGCCATGTCCCTCTCTCTCTTTTGCCAGGGTAGCCACCACTTCCAAGGGTGTATGAGCATACTCGCACAGTCTGACAAAGCAAACAATGAGGCGGCGCTGCGGTCGCTTTTATTTTTGAAAAATGGTGAACGCGCCGCACCGAGCGGACTTCCGGAAGCCCATCCTACCCTTCTCACTGTTTCATCCCCTATCCTACCTATACCGGCAGCTCTCCTCCCTCCGGCACTCTAGCGCGTATCCACGCCACCTATACATATAGCAACCTAGCGCTTCCATGATTCATTGCTGCCGCGATGGATGATCCATCTCTTCCCCTAGCTCTCGACCCGGCCATCCCAGTGCAGACCAGAACAGAACCGAGCAAGCCGGGCCAGGGCTGGCTGGTCAGATCAGGCTAGCCCAGGATAGGCCAGACTGCCCTCTCGAAGCACCTACTATAGACATGGCCACGCGGGACGTATTATTCTAGCGTCTTGTTATTTCCCTCTTATCTCGGGGACCACGCAGGAGAAATTACCTTTAAAAAATGTTTCAACCATTCCATATCCTATCCCCTATCATCTCATCGTTTCGGACGACGCACGGTGATTGTTAAAAATTTTGAAAATCTTTACAGCGCATAAAGCTATATCTTAATTATGAAATTATGCTCAGATATATCTTTATGCAATTTTTCGAATTTTCATTAATAAATTTTTCAGGCTCACTGAACCGAGAATTTATCATTAGCCAAGTTTGGTTTTGAATCGGTTTACGGGCTGTTTAAACGTATTATACTGGTTCACCGTAAGATACCTGATTGGTCGATTTGTATGGGGCTCATGCCTGAAAACGATAAATCTTCTACGTCAGAAAGTCGAAAGCAAAACGATCCCATTAAAAGTGGCCTTCCGAAAATGGCGGAGCGCACAGCACGTCATTGGTGGGCTACAGATTCGCGTGCGATCGGCGCACGTGAAAAATAATTTTTATTATTTTTTTTACTTGCAAATATTTATATATGCACGCAGAGGCAATTTTTCAATTCAGGTAATTGTGCGATTGTCACGGTAAATTTGCTCCCGGTGTCACACCGGATAAGGATCCGGAGCGAAGGAATCCAAGACTGATCGCCTCGTTGTCGAAAATCGTTTTAACGCTCCGTGGATGGAGCTGCACGATTTTACTATAGCAGTCTACCGTGTCTTCCAAAACACGCATGGACAATCCGATACTCACGACAGAGCATTATATCATTTGAACAAACAACAAAGACGTCACGGCAGAAAAGTAACTTTCCAACGTTTCATAAGTATTCAACGTTTCCGCTAGGATCAATAATTCTTTAAAAACACATCCCACGTTCGTACTATAGAATGTCATGGAAAAATGTTGAAGTAATTTTTTTGTATGCCAACCATGATTTTTTGGAAAAGTCTATATACTTCAGTTATTCCAACTCTGTTACATAATTGATAAAGGAGTTACATATTTGGCAGTATTTTTTAACTCGTCGCTCGGTAGCCAAGCCTGTCAGACGCACAGAACCCATTTGTCGCAGCGTATGTGAAAATACGACGGGAATATTTCACTTTTCGTATAGCGCTCTGACGACAGCGTCGCAGCACCACGTCACGAAGCATTCATTTCGAAATACAACCAAGTCGACAGTAGCCTTAATAAATGTACGTGCATTTGTAAAAGGCGGAATGTAAATATTCCTGTACTTTGGAGCCGTCGAGGCAGATATACTGGACAGTAGTTTTCGCGGCTCGAGATTAACGCTTTTTTCCGGAAAGTTTTCAAGGACTTGAAACGCTAATGGGATTCAGAGTTTTATGTATTTATGCGTGAAATCCTTATAACCCGCACGGATAATTAAACATGTAATAATAAATCAATACTTTAATCGCAACTGAATGCCTATGGAAGCTACTAGATTTTCATGTTTCATTCCTACTTTTTCGAAATATTGATTTATAACGTGAAACTAAATTTTTTTTTAAATCTAATATTCGTACATTACATTCCGACGGCTTAGAACCTACGGTCAATTGTTATTGGGAAATGATTAATAAATTCGTAAATATGGCAATACACCGGCAAATAATAGTATCTATCAACTTGAATAATTTTAAAAATCCAAATTTATCAAAACATAAACATATTTTTCAGAGCAGTTATAGATACCGTGATTTAACGTATTAAAATGTAATAAGTGCGTTCAAAGCTGCTGAGTAAATAGAAATGAAAAGCTAATGCGTACGAACTATATTAGTGCTAATATGCGTAGTACCAAAAGCTATCTTAGCTACTTTGATTTATTGGTAAATAATATATCTTATAGTTTAATTTGATAAAAACCAACTGAAACAGAATGATTGTGATTTAGTAACGGAGTTCCGATATTTAATTGGATCTTTGGAAATAAAAGTTTCCGACGTGTCTTTGAATTTTTGGAAAACGACAACCGTCTGTCTCTTGGAAAATATCGGGTAACTCTTTGAAGTCCCGAAAGACACTTTTCACTAATTCAAGCCAGTAGGCGAGTCGTTTTCAATCGGTCTGAAAAAAGTTTCTTAATGTCTCTGAATTATTTATTTCTCTCTCGCAGTTAGAAGCGTATCCATTTCCCACGCGAGTTTCCTTAAACACTTTGAACGTTTCCTTCTACACGCATTTCTTTCATAGAACAGCGAAACGGATGATTTGATAGTCGTAGTTAAGAATACGTGGCATTTTATTTGCTCCGCTTCACAAGAGCCGTTGATAAAGATACTTTTTAATGGGTTTTTTGTCGACTATGGAATCCACGTGCTAAGTATAATAAAAGAGAAATAGCAGCTTGAGGCAGATACTCAAAATGGCCGCTATTCTACCTGAGCCCGGGCGTTCCTTCATCAGCAAATTATTTTTATTTCTCCCAGTATTAATTTTCTGTTTTACTTAAGTGCATTGACAGTCATTTATTAAATTTTGAATTAATTTTATCATGAATTACACCTAGCGGTTAGGACAACAATTATTTCCGCTTGATGCATTTCACAATTTTTCTTAAACTGGTCCCGATGAGAATTCCGGATAATAATAATCAACAGATAAATTAATAATTAACATAAATAACGACCTAACGAAGTTGTCACGGCGGATTTCCAAAATAATTTTCGATTCTATTTATGATTAAAAAATTAGGTATAATAATATCAACAGGATCAATTTTAGTGTCTCTTACGACAAGTAGATTTGTACAAATTACGCTAATGAGCGCTATATCTATTTTTCAACGGTATACACCTAATCGTGTTTCCGGAATAAGTATCACGATTATTAGGTTAGAAAATTATCCAAGACCGGTTCGAAGTCGTTCTTTGATAATCGAATTTCATTAGACAGAAATATACCAATTTAATGTACATTACAGACGCACGTAGTATACATGTACATATATATATATTTATACAAAATAATTTCAAAAAAGTATTAACGGGTGTAAAAAAAGTAAGAGAATGATGAAATCAATCAAAATCTCTCTCACGAGCCTTAATCAGACATTTCTACCGTCACGGTCCATATCTCCAATACAGAAACGAAATTCTCATGCCGGAATTGTAACCGGATAACTTAGAAACCCGACGTGTCTCGGCCCCGAATCATTTATCCCTTTCGCGTTACGCGATATATTTTCGCCTAGAGCTCAGGAGAAATCTCCCGGGCGCATATGTCTCACGTCAGGATGCTGAAAAGCCAGCGCATCTCAAGATTCCTCATTCGACGAATCTTCCGTTCCAGTCAAATAAGAGCCGTACCGTTACGAACCGACTACAGGGACACGTCGCAGTCTGGTACGAGATATCATTGGTACTCCAAAAAGGGGTAAGAAAAAAATGTAAGAAAAGTTGGAAAATTCGTTAGAGCGTGGGACACGTCGAGAAGCGTCTCATAGCAATTAATTCTGCCGTGGTTATAGCCTTACTTGAAGATTCAAATGGACCGGTACAAAGGAAGAGGAAAAAAAAGAAAAGTCTGTAAAAAAAGAGAGAAAATACAGACGTTAATAATAGAAGCGTCGCGAGGACGACGTCGCCGTCGGTATACGTCTTAACGAGGCATGGCCGTTGAAACGTGTCAATTTTTCAGACATTCGTCCGATGAGAATTACAGTCGAGGAAACTGGAGTAGCCATAGCCGACGGCGAGCAATGCGCGTCGGCCGCCATCGCGGCGCTCGCCGTCGCATGGCCGCTCTTGCCTTGGCTGTAGGAATGGAGTGAAAAAATAAAAAATTGTACTTGTCCAAATTTGATTATTATAAATCTTTGAACTTGACACCCGTCGTCGTCGGATCCCTCAAATGATTTCATTGTTTGTCGTATGATGACTAAGCGTTGTATATACGAAATTACGTGGACGAAGTCACATTCAAACTTATGATTTGAAATACGCGGGCGACTTTCATGAAAGCGAAATGTAAATTAACAAGTATATATAGCCAAGTTTCTTTTGAAGTGAGCGAATAGTCGGACTTTTTATCTGAATTGCTGGTACACTCCGCATAACAATGTTCCTGCAATTCGATGCTAACAGGCGCCGTAACGAATTGAAAAATATCCACACGTTTTAAACGTGGGATACTGAATTAAAGAGTATGCGCTAATTTTTACTCTGACGAGTAAATATCTTCTTAGTGAGTATTTCGAATATTACCTATTATTTACCTCTGTCGAACGATGCCATAGCAATAATAATTATCACTTTCTACAAAAATTTATAACATCGGGTACTAACCATTATTGTCTATATATATATGTATATATGTACAACAGCCATGCGTGTAAATCAGTTTTCACATTATTCCACCAAACATGTCACAGAAGTGCGTGACGACTTTCCACCGAGGAAGAAACTTTTTTTAAAGTAAAAAGAAAAATGGTCTATTCATTATGCTTTATTGTCGTTATAGCAAAAAACTGTTTTAAAAGTAAGAAGAAAAAAAAAAGCCGCCTGAAAAATCAACAAAAGTAAGAAAGCACCATTTGGTCTTTGCCGACGGCGGCTCAAGTTCCGTGAATCTCGAACCACGCGTACGTTATAAATCATTTGCGTGGCTTCTCTAATTATAAGTACGACTATCATTGCTATCGCCGCGATGCGTGCAATGGCCGCAGGGCTATGACAGTGTACGGTATAGTGTACCCAGTCGCGATAACTGTGTTTTCACGAAGCCTCGTGTAAAAAAGCATATACGTGTATACGTGCAACAAAGTGAACCCAATGAATACGGAGAAATAGTTGAGGCTACTGTGAAGAAATTACAAAGTGAACTCCTACGTATGTATTAATGGTATATATCCACTAGCTGTGGTATACATATATCCACAGTACGTTTGTACTGGCTGACGCTTACATAGCGAGATGGAATAACGATTCGCTATTAACATTAGCGTTAATGCGTCGCTAACACGTTTGGCAATTATGAAAATAACACGAGAACGTTCGTCGAAACGATCATCGATTCTTGATGAAGTTTGATGATCCGTTAAATTTTCGTCATTCCCGCATTAACCGTGACGCCTCTCGATTCGGTTATTATTTAGATTGCCAGAGTCCTGAGCGTTTATCAAATTTAAATTAGATTCGATCAAGCAATCGTACTACCTGATAATGTATATAGACTTGTGTATATATAGACTGCTATCAATCATTCACCATATATATTATTTAGCTTGATATACTTTTTCAACATAATCGCGAGTTATTACATACGGAAGAAAATCACGCTTCCTATTACGCATGAGAATGGATATTGAAAGATTTAAATATTTCTGACAATAGCAATAGCCTTACCGTTATCATCGGAGCCTTATCACAAGATATATCGGCCATTGAAAATATGACTTCCGCTCGATTATATTCCCTTATAGCCACCTAGATAGATGCTTTTATATCGTTTCATTATCGATCCGTTATCGATATACCTAATATTCGTATCAAATTGTCCCTAAGTCACTGCTACCTCGTATCAGTCATTTATTTCATTGCTGAACGTCAAATCGCCAAAGATAAGAGTTAACAAACTGTACAAGCGTACGAGTGTGTTATTAGATATACGCCGTATAATGGTATAAGGCACGCAATGCATTCTTGTATTATATATCGTAATTCAGCATACAAATATCTTAATTCAGGTATTAGTACGAGTATACCCTGATCCAAAATTTTTTTCAATACAACCCATGTCCATAGCACGTCGACTAGATGACGTTTATCTTAAAATAAATATAATCTCGACATGTTATGATAAAATGACAGTATGACCGCAGCCTCGGTTACAGCATGCATTTCGTTCCTTTACGTCAACCACGTCATTTTACACGGTCCCGTCAAACCGAGCGACGGCTTGAAAATTTGTTGAATCAACGAGTCACTTTTTCACAAGGCGTTAAATAAACTATGCTTATCTGTCGAAAGCATCCCAAACAGGTTGAAATCTCTGGTTTGTTGCAGCAACGTAAATGTTGCCCATGGCACGGCCGTAAGTATTTCGTTGATGAAAAAAAATGTGCCAAAGAAACGCAGCATTCGGTCACTCGTGAGACAGAACATACTCACTCAGTCGAATGAGCCGCTGATAGGATTTTCTTTGAGAAACGATACGTCACGCTGTTCGATAAATCAGTCCACGAATTTTTCAGTTCGTGACGTCACTGTTGTATATGCGTAAACGAGCGTATTACACGTGTAAAAATGAATTTTAGTAGTTGAACTGTATATTTTGCTGTTTTAGAGTGTAAGATTCTTACTGGATAACCGATTCGTGATGGTACACGACGTTTGTCCACCCACGCACTGCACTTGCGACTGAAGCAGGTCTTCGTCGTTGACTCAGTGAACCCTTGACCAACGACCTTGAGCCGTGCAATTTGCGTATTCAAACGAGAGCAGAGGAACGGCTGGAGCGCCTCATTGGCAAGCCTTTGGCCTCGGCTGTAAATCATGGATGCTAAGGAATAGCTATGTACGTATATCTGTTGTCTACGGCAGTGGAAGAAGGAAGAATGCGCGACGGACCGACGGCGTCAGCATAGCTCAGGTCGGTTCTCCGCCGCAAAAGCCGCATTGGATTTTAAGGTTTTGACTTAAAGAATGGACAGCCAGGTATCTCCCTGCATTTGTTTTGCATAACTCCGTAACCCTTATAACTGACTGGTTTTAGTCGGTACTACCCCTTAACCAAGTCACTGTAAGATAGTCTAGGGATACACCCTGTGGATATTCTTAAGTTCTGGACGTGCCAACGTGAACCGGGGCATTCGATTAGATCTGCTTCAGTTACTGCGTACGACCCAAGGACGTCGGATTTCTTTTCAGGAGCCACCGAGGTTTACGGATGTGGGTAGCTATACGGGTCTTTGGGTTCGTTTTCGTGTTATGTGGGAAATTTGGGGTATTATGCGAAATACAGAGTTTTGTGACGTAAAAAAAATACCGATTCGTACACAGTAAATCTGGTTAAAATTTTTTTTAGTTATGTCACCAAGAGTAGGCGGGTATCGGTTGTTTCTCGGCTTGCAATTTATAAGGGGATTTCCAAAAATGATTTTACGGATTTTTCTAAATACATGTATAATTAGAGTTCATGGTTAAAGTATAGAGTTACTATCGTGCCTTTTTTCTCAGTTTTACATTAGAATAAATTTCTTAGGAGTGAACAATGAATAACGGATTCTTTGTCGGCTTTGAAACTGAAGCGGAAGTTTCAAAACCCATAACGAAAATCTGTATGTTTCTCTAGGACTAAAACCAGTACTAATTTCAATTTTTTAGAAATTAGTTAAAACATAGGAAATTACACGTGTTTCCTAGTACAGAATCTCACTGTTAACAATAGTTGTATCAGAACCTGAGAACGTACGTAATCGGTAAAATTTTCTGTGTCTACATTAGTAGCACCAAATAAGGTCCCGAATTCAACACCTTTCACCATTCACGAGTTTATCCACGGCAAATCAAGAGCCAAACTGACAAATATGAAAGATCAAGAGGAGCAATGGCGTCTCTCGCAGAGCATCTCGTGTGAACGCGACAGCCTGGTAGATGAAAGAAATCAATGTCCCAAGTTGACCGTCTCCGCCTAGCGGAAAATCATATATCCTCGAGAGCGGAAAATTAGTTATCGGAATTGGCACGACCGTCGGAACATTCGGTGGACATCCTGGGGCCGTCCGCCATACTGGAAAACTTGAACGCGCGCAGATCGAAATACCGAGGTAAAATTGACATAGGTATTTATTATCGTTAGCTATATTAACACAGTCGAATAAAATACCAAACTCAAATTTGATCGATATAAGTTAAATGACTAAACTCAAAAAAAAATCATCTATAATAATTTTGACTTGTGTGAAAATTTTATAATTTTTCACAAACCCACATAAATAATCTGTCCGACGATGGTATACGCGATATATGAATATTATTATACCTTTTATTATTTTGTTGTTTGATATAGTATATTAACGGAGTTTAGTAAGAGACGAATAGACATGAATTTGGCTGCGATCCAGACATCACACGTTGACGCAAAATTCGCTGAGGTAATTGCGCGACTGATGTCGCACCGAAGCGCAACGTAAAGTGCAGTAGGTTGATTCGATGAAATAAATTGCAAAGCGCATACACTTCGCACACGCATTCCACCTGTGCAATTCGAGACACGGATGTATACCGTAGGTAGATATATATATATGAAAAATAATTAACGACCACGCGTCCTTTGAAACATTGTGCTGGCCACGAGAATAATGATAAATAACGTCAAGTTTCAACGACGTTTGCAAGACACTGGACATAAATTACGCGCCGCTTTGAAAATGGCAAATTTAGTAGAAAATTAGTAAGTAGGTATATTACTTCACGTGATTATCTACACGTTAAAATCTTTGAGATCGTGGTCTGTCAAAAAATCGTTACAGGAAATACGTAACGAACCAAAAACTTCCCGCTGTGTTAATGCATGCTAGGTTTCATTCTTCGAACAATTTTCTTTCGTGCTACCGTAATGATAAATCATCCAGAATAACTGTCCATAGGAAATCAAGAATGTTTTATCTCATACGATTACTACGCTATGTACCGTACAAGATAACTATAGAAATAATAAAAATTACTACACATAACGAAAGCCCATATTCTTATAAATAAATTGAATTCTAAATAAACAAAAAATGACTTAATAAAATCATAATAAATTTCATCATCAAAATTTAATATTAAAACTGTAATTACAACTGGAGTCCAGTCTAGTACCTAGGAGCCATTTTCTTCTGCCTTGCCCTGGTAAAAACCTTGCTCTGGAAAAGGTGTGAAACGAAGACCATCTGCTCGGTGTGAAAGAAACCATAAACACAACCGGAACACAAGCCGACCCACCCATAGCACGGAAAACACTGAGACTCTAATAATGATAAATGAATAAGTAGCTAAATGAATTCCGCTGACGGCCTCATTGGACCGAATTGATTGATGGTCATGTACAGTCTTTGTGTCTGCAACACGATAGAAAGAACCGACGGTGTACGCGATGAATCACAATATCGCATCTCGTTACACAATCCAGTCATCGCAGGCATTTATGCAACAGAAAATGAATTCTCAGTCAACTGTATATTTACACGCGAAGTTGCAGAAACGTTAGCCATTTAACTGGAGCATTGATTAACCAAACAAATTCCATGTATACAAACCGGATACAAATGGTTTCCTTCATCTCTGGATAATTTCTTGGGCCACTGGAAACAATTCAAGATTATCCAAAAATCGAGTATACAACTTGAGATGAAAGGATCTTAGGAAAGTTTCTTATAAACTAAATTGTTATCACGACTGTTATCAATGGCCGTATCGTTAATCAGTTTACCTGTTGATATCGGAAGTATTTTCGAAATACGTTATAACTTAAGTTACAACACCTAGACCACCCTGTAGATACGAATCCCGTAAAGACCTTGACGAGAAGGGCTGAGGGTAGGGAGTCACAGGGTGTGCCGTTCAAGACACCGTAAATCAACCGAGATTATGTGACTTTTCAAACAAGGATGCGTCGTCGGGGCTTCGGGAAGGTAATGTATGAGATAGACTTCTCAGTCGCCTTGAGTTTATCCTCCCTACGTTTACGTTGGCATTACGCTTCACGAAGGTACGAGGCACCGCGAAAGTCTCGCCCTTACCTTAGAAGCTGTAGCGACAGTTTTCATGGCGTCGGCTAAGAGATAAATAACAGTACACTTATGATTATTAATACTTTTAGGAGCAGGTGGTTAACTCTTATGCAATTTCGACTGTCGACTGTGCTGGAAAACCACCCTTGCACGGTGCTACCCCTAAATTTCATATGCATCAGGTTACGAGAGGGATTATGGTATCAGGACCTCATGGGAAATTAACATTATTTATTACGAGTAAGAAAAATCAATATTTATATTATCCAATAAAGTTATTAATGAAATATCTATAAAGATTGAGAGGGTGAAGAAATGTCAGTTGATTTGAAAATTATCCAATTTTCGATAAAGGTATACAAATTATCATCTAATAGCTTATGATACCCCTAGGTCAATCGATGTGACCGTGTGAGACATGAAAACATGATGGCCGAAGCAACCTCCGGTGTTACAGTGTGGTGGAGAATTTACACGCCGGCAACAAATACGCCCCATAAATAAATCCAGGGCCGTAGAGCCTCGCACCACCAACGGCTATTAACACGTTATGGTTATTTAAGTAGCGCTAATAAATAACCAATGGTTAACCACCTTGTGGCGCGCGTCGAGTATTATGAGACTGCTTATGTCATCTGGCAGCTGATTGTCTATCGGGTTACCGTCTTCACCATTTAACGAATCTTCGTCTTACGGCCAGATTCTTAAATCACTCTAGTCTTCTATTAGCCGTGCGCGTAGAATATATAGACGTTAAAAAGAGCCCCGGCATTTAGCGGCTAGAAAACGATATCGTATAACGAGATCAATCAATAATTTCAGTACGGCAATAGCGTGCTCTCATACATCATAGTAATAAAATCATAAAGAAACAAATAAAATACGGGACTCGGACGAGTGGGCGTTCGAAAGGTGAAACTGGCTGTACTTTCATGCAATATACATTTCAATCTAATAAGCAATGCTTGCCGTAAGTATTTCGAAAGTAACATCAAACTACGTATATTGGCATATACATAAGTTACGATGAAAATGAGTGCTACGTGAAATCCCATGTGGAGATTTAATACAGCTTGAAATATATGGTCAAATCGATATAGATATTAGAGACAATACTAATCCAGTAAAATGGAGAAACAAGAGAGCATCGTCGCGCTATAGAAAAATGGCGGAAAGTGCGTGACCCATAGGGAGATAAATTCTCGAGAGTGGCACAAAGAGAAAGAAATAGTGAAAGTGAGCGAGCATATATGTTATATATATATATATACGTATGTGGAGAAATATATGTATAAAGCTGTATATACATAAGAGAGAAATACGAAAAGAGAACGAAAGAGAGTTACAGGAGCAGGGGCTTCCGTGGCAGGATGATCGGTGGCGCGCGTTAGTTTAATCATCGCGCATTAGCCTGCACTACCCCTTACCCTAACCCTCGCCCACTTTCACCCTCAAATTCCGCGTCGTTCGTTCCGTTCTGCGTTTCTCTATACCACATCCGTTCCGATTCGTTCATTCATTCTGTGTTTGCGATACGCAGACCGTTTGTCACGCAGCGTTCAGCAGTTGCTGATATGACTATTCTTTTTGAAAATGTTTCATTGTGGAACTGAGTGGTGGTAGTCATTGAATCCATAGTCATTTAATGTGGATTGTTGTTTGGATTATAATTTTTAATGGCACTGTACGGTACAGGTGGGTACGAGTGTAGTAAGTGCGAAAAGGCTGGGGGTCTCCTGGAATTCCTGGAGAATTAATGTAATTCGGATAACCCTTGGGTTAATTGGAGGAAAGAACCTTGACTGGGCACGAGGGTAGGAATACGATTAATTCCTTTGCGACAGAGAGAGAGAATTCACTGTTGTGAAACAACCTGTAGGTTTGGGTAGAATTCTTGTATATTCTATAACGAAATTGAAATCACATAGGAATAATTGATTTGAATAAATTTTCATATTGCAGGTATACGGGTATGTCTATGGTAGCGGGATTTTTTCTTTTCTTCAATAAAGAATAAGTAAAGCATTAGTAGGGATGCTGTAGGTCCATGGGAATGCGACGAAGTACCAACACGGTAGCATCCTGCCAGAGGATTACCAGCCCACTAAGAGGAGAAGGTGCAGGAAGGGGATAAGAGGGTGAAGTAAGGTTAGGTAAGAGAACGAGCGTCATCTGCTGGTTCCCAATCCTCTTTCAAGGAATAGCCTTGAAGAGCAACAATGAAAAATATTCCTTTTGGATTTTCGAAGTTCCTGAAAAATCATCCAAGAGCTGATACCGAGCATCGTTCTGTGGTTACTACCCTTGTTAATAAGTATTTTTTTGTTTTCGTCCATTGAAAGCTATCTCGCAATTTTTTGTCATATCAATCCCCTGCGACTTGCCACGCAAATGCAATGCCACGTTAGGGTCCTCTTTATGCGAAACATTCACTGGGATCGGAACTTGCAAAGTGAGTATAGCAGACGTGGCGGCAACGAAAGAGAGACAGAGTAGGCAGCCAAGCCAGGCCAGGTTCGCTCGCGTCCCGACGCGCACAAAAGCGTGATAAATCGAGTACATTAATTCGCATTTTACCTTTGTTTGCGTTATGGAATACAATATTAAATGGAATGGGCGCACAATAGATAATGCCGCGCGCCATCATTTACGCGAGCACTGAGCGGACGAGTGAGGCGTTGCTTAGGTTGCCCGGGGTTGCCTCGTGCGCTCCTCACAGAAGAACGTTCGTTGCTCCTGCTCCTCACTTCAGGCAGTCGCGTTCCTCTGGCACCCGACTATCAGCCATCCAGCAACCCCCGTTCGCGTCATCTGGACTTTTGATATACACTCTCGCGTTCATCTTGTTTGCAACGTGTCGACGGAGCTCGGTTCAAGTTCCATTCGGAAACTTCTACTGCATAGACACTATCTTCCACTCCTTTTCACACTTTTTTTTTATATGTTCAATTTTGAGAAAAATCTTATTTTCATGACAGAGGCGTACACTCTGTTGTATGGATCTTTAGAATAAATATTTTTTCAGTTCCATGGCAATTACCATACAATGGGATATATACTCAGTCACTTTTAATATTCTTCTACCGCTTCATCTCGTATCGACTGAACTTGATATAAACAATAAAGGGTATGGGAATTTTTCTTTTGGGAGGAACTTAAGTCTTGGTCTGAGAACTTGCGAGCTGCAGATGGTGTTGGCAGCCAGGGTGACGCATGGATTCGATTCCTGGGAGCTCGTGATTCCGCTCGGTTAGCCCCGTGTCACTCCCAGGAAACCCCATTACCCACCGGCATTCTCCAACCCTCTACTCCGACGCCAATACCCCCTGCCTTGGCACCAGGTTCCCGTAGACCTCTCTCGCTGGAGTACTCCAGCCGCATACATACGTACGAACGAATGTTGCTAGCAACCTATGCGATACTGTATCTGGCTTTGGTTCCCTTTCTCTCATGTTAGCAGGAATGGCAAAGCTACCTAACCTCCATCGAGTATCCA